TCGTGAGTTTGTGGATGTGTTCCCGGACCAACTACTAGGAAAACCACCCAGTAGGCTGGTGGAATTCACAATTGATCTTGTTCCCGGAGCAGCACCTGTGTCGAAGGCACCATATAGGATGGCACCAAAGGAATTGCAAGAGTTGAAAACTCAAATTCAAGAGTTGTTGAAACTTGGTTTTATCAGACCAAGTGTTTTACCGTGGGGAGCACCTGTACTGTTCGTGAAAAAGAAGGACGGATCCATGAGGATGTGTATCTATTATCGGAATTTAAACCGATTGACGATAAAGAATAAATATCCGATTCCAAGGATTGATGATTTGTTCGATCAGTTGAGAGGAGCTTGCGTATTTTCAAAGATAGATTTACACTGAGGCTATCATCAACTGAAGATTAAAGAATCTGACGTAGCTAAAACTGCGTTTCGAACAAGATACGGTCACTACGAGTCTGTGGTGATGCCGTTTGGGGTAAGTAATGCACCAGCGGTATTCATGGATTTGATGAACCGTGTTTTCCACAAGTATTTAGATCAATTTGTCATCGTCTTTATTGATGATATTTTGGTCTATTCCAAGAGTCAAGAAGAGCATGAGCAACATCTGAAGGTAGTTCTCGGTACCCTTAGAAAGGAGAAGTTGTATGCCAAATTCTCTAAGTGTGAGTTTTGGCTGAAGAAAGTGGCGTTCTTAGGCCATATTATCACTGCAAGAGGAGTAGAAGTGGATCCAGCAAAGATCGCGGCAATTCAGAATTGGGCAGTGCCCAAGAATTCATCAGAAGTTCGAAGTTTTCTCGGATTAGCAGGTTATTATCGTAGATTCATCGAAGGGTTTTCAAAAATTGCTCTCCCTTTGACAAATTTAACGAGAAAATCTGTGAAGTTCGAGTGGTCCGATCGTTGTGAGAAGAGTTTCCAAGAGCTCAAGAGGAAGCTTACATCAACTCCAGTGCTAATTATCTCTGATCCTACTAGAAGTTTCACTATTTATAGTGATGCTTCGAAAAGGGGTCTTGGA